TCCACCGGACAATGTCTCAGACTGGTTAGGTTGTCCGGCGCAAATTCTGGTTGTCTCGGACAACCGGACAACGCTTATTTCGAGCACTGCACATGTATATTAGAGAGCTGTCATACAACATTTCCATGTTATTTATGTGTACTAAACAACTTTCCAATAATTTTGCTGTATTGTTCATGTACTTGGGCTAGAGAACTGTCTTACAACATTACAATGTCATATCTGTATGCTAAAGGGCTGTCCATAATGACATAGCTATGGTGTGCATAGATGTTAGAGAACTAGCTAAGAACATTGTCATGTTCTGTATTGTTGTTAGAGAACTAACCAGTAACATTGCCATGTTGTTCACACACGTCTTAGGCACACATACAACTAGCCTTCTAATAACATTGCTATGTGGTAGATGTAGGATAGAGAATAGTTTTATAACATTGCCATGTTGTGTACGTGTAACTTAGTGTAGCAGATGGGGTCGTTGTCGTATCAGGTACTACAGATATGTACCTGAGGTAGTTTTAGGTTGTTTAGTATTATGTTTATATTTTTATATGAGGTATGTTTAGGGTTAGGGTTAGGGTTAGGGTAGGGTTAGGGTTAGGGTTAGGGTTAGGGTTAGGGTTAGGGTACACTTCTGTAGTACAGGTCTGGTACACTTTGTGTATACATATATGTACCTCGGTTACATATCTGTAGTACCTGATACGACAACGACCCCTTCAGCTTTAGTACCAGGGTACGTTCCGGCAGTACCCTAGGGGACATAGACCCTGGTAGCCTAAGCGACTGCCAGTCTTGACTGGTACCCGTCCCTTCTCACACGCTCGATATAGGGCGTGTGAGAAGGGACGGGTACCAGTCAACTGCCAGTCTACCTCATAAGCAAATCTACCACGTGCGCGGCGGCTAGCGCATCGCCCACACTGGGGAGACGTGTCAGAACTTGCATTGCTCGCGTAGTCTCCCTGCCACCACGAACCTGGCAGCACACAGCCGCTATACACGCATTACACGCTAATCACATAGGGTCTGCACGGAGACCATCGCAACCACTAAATATTATNACACCCCCTAGATCCGCACCTGATACTACGTGGCACGCAAGATGTACGTCGCATATTTTAAAAACCATTAATTAGTACAGTTGTAAAATAATTAACGCCAAATAAAAAAGCATTGTAATATTATGTAATATTGTAAGACCATTATTTAGAATTGCGAGGATAAGATAGTAATGCCTTGATAAACATTAGAACAAAAGCATATTAATATAAATAAATAGTAATACGAAATATATATATAGGCCTATATGTATGTGTGTGTGTGTGTGTGTGTGTGTGTGTGCGTGCGTGCGTGTGTGTGTGACGACTGTGTGTG